GTAATTCATTATGGTAGCCCTAGAAACTCAACTCGCCCAAAGCTGAACTCACTCTGCAAGGTTGCTGCTTGTCAGACAAGCCCACCAGGCACCTCAATGGCCAGTATTCACCTATTTTCTGTTGTATGACAAAATACCTGGCACTGGGCAAGGCATAAAGAAGAGGGATTTGGATCAGGATTGTGGCATAGCGGGTTGTACCACTGCCTACACCATAGGTACCCCATACGGGCTCCAGTTCAAGTCCCAGCTGAACTACTTCTTATCCATCTCCTTGCTAATGCACCTGGGAAAGTAGCAGCACTTGGGCCCCTGCACCTATGTGGGAGACCTGGACAAAGCTTCTGGCTCTGGCCTGGACCAGCCCTGGCCTCTGTAGCCATTTGGGGAATGAACCAGTGGATGGAAGATATCTCTGTCTCTGTCTCTCTCTCTCTCTGTAACTCTACCTTTCAAATAAATAAAGAAAAGAGGAAGGGAGGAGAGAGGAGGGGGAAAGAAGGAGGGAAGGAAGGAGGAGGAGGAAGGAGAGGAGGAGGAAGGAGAGGAGGAGGAGGAGAGGTGGTGGGACAACTTCCCAACACACGAACCCTTGGGAGATAAAAACCATATCTAAACCATAGCAGGGTCCAAGCCAGAAGCCAGGCACAATTCTCACCCACCATCCACATCGTCCACTGATCTGAGACCTCTGGAACCCAGATGTCTCTGCACTCCCAGACTCTATCTGTTTGTTTGTTTGTTTTTGACAGGCAGAGTGGACAGTGAGAGATAGAGAGAGAGAGAAAGGTCTTCCTTTGCCATTGGTTCACCCTCCAATGGCCACCGCGGCCGGCGCACCGCGCTGATCCAATGGCAGGAGCCAGGTGCTTCTCCTGGTCTCCCATGCAGGTGCAGGGCCCAAGCACCTGGGCCATCCTCCACTGCACTCCCGGGCCACAGCAGAGAGCTGGCCTGGAAGAGGGGCAACCGGGACAGAATCCGGTGCCCCGACCGGGACTAGAACCCGGTGTGCCGGCGCTGCAAGGCGGAGGATTAGCCTAGTGAGCCGCGGCGCCGGCCTTCCCAGACTCTATTTGCTGTATACCTCTGCTCTTTTATTGCCCTTATCCAAGCCACCCTTGACAGAGCAACCAGGGTTAATTCTTTCAAGAACTCACCACTACTGGTGGTTCTGCAGCCTCAGCACAGTGCACAGAGCTCCCAGGATCTACACTGGCTATTCCTGGCTCCTCTCCTGGGTGCCCATGCCATTCTTATTTTTTTTAAATTCTTTTTTATTTGATAGAGTTAGACAGTGAGAGAGAGAGACAGAGAGAAAGGTCTTCCTTCCATTGGTTCACTCCCCAAATAGCTGCTACGGCCAGAGCTACGCTGATCTGAAGCCAGGAGCCAGGTGCTTCTCCTGGTCTCCCATGCGGGTGCAGGGCCCAAGCACTTGGGCCACCCTCCACTGCCTTCCCGGGCCACAGCAGCGAGCTGGATTGGAAGAGGAGCAGCTGGGACTAGAACCCGGCACCCACATGGGATGCCGGTGCTGCAGGCAGAGGATTAACCAAGTGAGCCGCGGCGCCGGCCCCCACCATGCCATTTATGACTATCTCTCTCCCATGTACGGTCTCCAAGTGAGCAGGTGCCCTGGTGTCTGGGGACAGGAGCCCTTTCTGTCACCAAATCACCTCCCCTCTCTCTTCCAGGATGCAGAGCAACCACAGCACCCCTGGGAGGACTCCTGACCTCCCCCACCTCTTAGCATGGGAACTCCTTCAAGTTTTCCCTGAATCGGTCTCTCACAGTGTAAGCCAACCAACAGAAGTTGGAAAGCCCCAGAGGCCAGGAACCATAGCTTACTCATCCTCGGATCCTTAGTGTCTGAGACAAAAATAGGTACTTGACAAATGTTTGTTGAATGAATGGATGCTTGTTGGTTATGTCTTCAAAATTGATAGTTGGCGTTCTCTGGGGATTTTATCTGTTTGGCACAGGCAAAGGCCCATTTGGCTCATTCACTCAGCAAATATTTACTAAATGTGTCTTTGCCTTGAGCGTAGCAAGTAATTAAGACAGAACATGAGGGCCAGCCATGGCGCGGTAGGTTCATCCTCTGTCTGCGGCGCCAGCATCCCGTGTGGGCGCCGGGTTCTAGTACTGGCTGCTCCTCTTCCAGTCTAGCTCTGCTATGGCCTGGGAAAGCAGCAGAGGATGGCCCAAGTGCTTGGGCCCCTGCACTCGCATGGGAGACCTGGAGGAGGCTCCTGGCTTCAGATAGGCACAGCTCCAGCCATCGCGGCCATTTGGGGAGTGAACCAACAGAAAGGAGACCTTTCTCTCTGTCTCTCCCTCTCACTGTCTGTAACTCTACCTCTCAAATAAATAAATAAAATCTTTTAAAAAAAAAAAAAGACAGAACACGGTCTCTTGAGGAGCACAGTGGGAGCCCAAAGGAGGGAATGAGGACACCAGGCCCACCAGGCCACCACAGAGGTGGCCGCATTCACATTGGGCTTCTTGATACCCACAATCTTTTCCATCCTTTCCCAAGAGAACATGCTCACCTTATCCTTAAACTAATTCCCATGTCTAGAAACGTAAGTCTGAGACACTCTTGGTTTATGAAGTCACTTTCTTTGGGAGCCTCAATCCTAAATTACTTCGCAGGTAACTAGTTCTCTTTAAAATATTGAGAGGCAGAGAGCTAGAGCTCCCATTGGCTGCTTAATTCTCTAAATGCCTGCAATGGCCATGGGTCGAAAGCCAGGAGCTGGAAACTCAATGCAGGTCTCCCACATGGGTGGTAGGAAACCAATTATTTTTAGTATTTTTTTTGTTTTAATATTTTTAAACTTATTTGAAAGGCAGATTTATAGACAGAGGACTGACAGAAAGATCTTTCACCCACTGATTCACTTCCCAAATGGCCACAATGGTTAGAATTGGGCCAGGATGAAGCCAGGAGCCTGGAATTCTACCCAGGCAGTTCTTCCATGTAGGTGGCAGGGGCCCACGACCATGAGCCATCTTCTGCTGCTTTATGAGGCATATTAGCATGGAGATGGAGATGGAGAGAGGACGTGCAGCGGCCAGGACTCAGACCAGGTCCCATATTGGACACTGGTCTCCTCGAACCCCATTATTTGAGCAACCACCCATTACATCCCAGGATCTGCACGACCAGGAACTTGGGAGTCAGGATCCAGAGCTGGAACCAAACTCGGGTAAGCTGCTATGAGATGTGAGTACCTTAGTGGCTACACCAAATGCCTGCTCTGCCAGGTGACTGGTCTTTACAGGTGCAGTGGAAAGTAGTGTTGCATCGTGCATTGGGAAGGGACTTGTTCACCCAGCACCTCTGCATATCAAGAGCCCACTTGACAAATTCAGTACCGCCTCCAGCATCTGTGAAAACCCCTGGATCTGAGGTTTGGCCTCTCTGCACTAACTCTATAGCAGTGGTGGCCGGGATCTACTGATCCAACCAACACCTACTGGTTACAGGTGAGCTCCTCAGGTTCTTGCTGCACAAGGTCACTGCCACAAGGTCATGGGCAGGCAGTCTGGCTGCATTTGATGGAAGAGAGCCCGCAAACAAGCAAGGAAGTGGAGGGAGATGCAGTTAAGAGTTGCCCAGGAAATCCCTTACAGAGTCTGAAGCAAGCACAGATGCACCAGGATATGGTTTACATTTTAAAGAGATCCCTCTGGTTCACATAGAGAAGAACAGGCTGCAGAGAACCAAGAGTGAAGTGTGTCTCGCAGAACAACGCTCTCAGGAAGCCTCCGTGATGGACATGATTTGCTGAGATGAAACATACTTGCATGGAGTGTGGTAGCTCACTAAGGCTTCCTCTGCCAACCCGATTCAGCTGGCCTTCACCTCCAAGCGTGCAGAGGCCCAGGCCCTGCCTGAAGAGGAGGCTGGGGCTGGAACATCAGCATACCTGGTGGGAGGTGCTGACCTGACCTGCCACACCCGAGGACAGCTGTAGCGCTGAGGAGGGCCCTCAAAGTGGGGAGGAGAGTTGGGATGGCCACAGAGAAAGTCTGGGAGATTAAAACCCCCTCTTTCCGGGCCAGCACTGTGGTGTAGCAGGTTAAATACGCTGCCTGCAGCGCCGGCATCCTATATGAACGCTAGTTCGAGACCCGGCTGCTCCACTTCCGATCCAGCTCTCTGCTATGGCCTGGGATAGCAGTAGAAGATGGCCCAAGTCCTTGGGCTCTTGCACATATGCAGGAGAACCGGAAGAAGCTCCTGGCTACTGGCTTCGGATCTGGACAGCTCTGGCCATTTGGGGAGTGAGCCAGCAGACAGAAGACCTCTCTCTCTCTGACTCTGCTTTTCAAATAAATAAATAATTTTTTACTAAAAAAAAACAACTCTTTCCCTTCTGGTTTTGGTTTAGGGAAGAATTAGTTTGTAAAGGTCGACCCAGGATCCAGCAAACCTGGAGGGTCCTGGGGCTTTTGGGTCTGTGCTCACTTACGAAGGATTACAACACCGCCCTCCTAGCCCTTCTCACCCTGGCCCCCAAACCCCTACTCTGTGACCCAAAACCCTCCAACTCAGCCTGCGGGCCACAGACCTGGTCTCCTTGCCATAAAGAATGCGCTTCACCTCCTGCAAATCTGCGAGCGGAAGGTGCTTCTCCAAGCACTGCTCCAGCGACTGCCACTCAGGTCTTGCCATGGCGCAGAGTCCAGCAGCTCTGCCGCTGCGACCCGCACTGCCTGCCCTTTGCTCCCAGGAGAAGGGGGGAGGGGGGAGAGGCGGGCCCGCGCATGCGCCCTCTGCCCCGTGTGGATACGCCCCCTCCTCGCGCCTTCTAAGCTCACTGCCAATCAGAGTTTCAGGGCTTCGCGGGTAGGACCGCCCCTTGCCCTTCCCGCCTCCTTCGGCACGCTCAAGGACACGCCCCCTCTCCCAACTCGGCGGGACGCGACCAATCAGCGCTCCAGAGATTCGTGGGCGGGACCACTCTCGCCCTTCGCGCCTCCTTTGGCACGCGCTGGGGCACGCCTCTCTCATGGTTGGCCGCGGCCCGGAGCCCTAGCGCCTCAGCGTTTGTTTCCGCCGCGCGCGGATGCCCTAGCACAGGTGACCGGGGCCGGCCTCTGGCTTTTTTTCCTCTCCCTGACGGGGCCCGAGGTTGCGGGGCGGGACCCAGGAGAGGCGAGGAGGAGGAAGAGGAGGAAGGCTTTGGCCCTGGCATGAGGTAAATGGCCGGCCCGCCGCCGAGACCTCGACTTCCAGCCCACAGAATGGGGGCAGCGAGCTGGGGCGGCCCCACCGCGCGGGAGTGCCGAGGAAGGTACGGGGACGAGTTTGTGTCCCAGGGTTGGGAGACCCCGCCTCTCTTTTCTGGAGCCCCCTGGGTCTGAAGATTTCTAACCCCCGGGGGTGAGGCTGCGGAGGCACGCGGGCCCCCTACTTCGTTTGAGCCCAAGGTCGGGTGGGTGAGGCGACTGGAGCCTGCGGGACGCGTGCGGGACTCCTGGGTTAGTGTTGTTAAAACGCGGGCTCCTGGGGCAGGGGCGCATCCCCTGGAGTCCCCGTCAGCTCCAGCGTCCGCAGGGGGTCGGGGGTCGGGGCGCTCATATGGACACGTTAGTGGGCGGAGAGAGAGGCACTGTCGACCGTGGCTGGGCCAGGGCGCACCCCTCCTCCACACACACACGCACCTGGGACCCATGATCCCTGCTGGGCACTGGGCTGAGAAAGGCCAGGTTTCCGCCATTTCTGCCCAAATCCTACTGCAGCTGCTTGCAAACATTCAGTCCCTGGGGGCTGCTGCTGTTCCATTATCTGTAAAGTGAGACTAGAAAGGTGACCTAGCAGGAGCGTGTACAAAGTAAGATGGCGTGGTTCCTATCCGCCATAGAGTACTATTCAGCCATGAAAAAGGATGTTGCCAACATGGGTGGAGCTGCAGGTCATTGTGTTAAGCTAAACCAGGCACAGAAACACCAGATTTTGCTGATATGGGGAAGCTGAGACTAGAATGGTGGTTGGCAGAGGCTGGGGAGGGAGAGGTGGAGAAAAGTTGATTAATGGGTGCTGAATTACAGTTGGATGGTCAGATGTAGTTCTGATGTTCTGTTGCACAGTAGGGTGACTATAGATAATAATGACATACTCTGTGTGTGTGTGTAAAACCAAAGGATTTGAATGTTTTCACCATAAAGAAGTGAAAAATATCTGAGGAGATAGGTTCACACTGATTGGAGTGTCACACAGTATATACAGGTTAAAACATCACACGGGGGCACAATAGCAGTCCTGGCCTGCAGTGCCGGCGTCCCATAGGGGCAGGGTTCAAGTCCCGGCTGCTCCACTTCCAATACAGCTCCCTGCTAATATGCCTGGGAAAGCAGCAGAAGACGGCCCACATGCTTGGGCCCCTGCACCCACATGGGAGACCCGGATGAAGCTCCTAGATTTGGCCTGGCTCAGCCCCAGCTGTTGCAGCCATTTGGGGAGTGAACCAGTGAGTGGAAGATCTGAGTCTCCCTCTTTCTCTGTGTAATTCTGTCTTTCAAATAAATGAATTTTTTAAAAATCACATGCCCCATATAGTTACAATTTTAATGTACTTATTAAAAATGGAATTATTTTTCTATAAAGGTAAAATAAAAAGCACACAGAGGGGACTAATTTATATCCAAAATGGGCAATTAGCATTAAAACTACATGCTATAGGGCCAAATATATTAGGTAGTTTATCTAAGTCACTAATTCATAAGTTTTTTTAAATATTTTATTTATTTATTTGACAGGTAGAATTACAGACAGAGCGAGAGAGAGAAAGAGAAAGGACTTCCTTCCATTGGTTCACCCTCCAGATGGCTGCTATGGCCAGTGCACTGCACCGATCCGAAGCCAGGAGCCAGTTGCTTCCTCCTGGTCTCCCATGCGGGTGCAGGGCTCAAGCACTTGGGCCATCCTCTGCTGCCTTCCTGGGCCACAGCAGAGAGCTGGACTGGAAGAGGGGCAACTGGGACTAGAACCCAGCGCCCATATGGGATGCCGGTGCTGCAGGCAGAGGATTAACCGAGTGAACCACGGCGCTGGCCCCAGTTGTTTTTTTTTGTTTGTTTGTTTGTTTGTTTGTTTGTTTTTTTTGACAGGCAGAGTGGACAGTGAGAGAGAGAGAGAGAAAGGTCTTCCTTTGCCGTTGGTTCACCCTCCAATGGCCGCCGCGGCCGGCGCACCGCGCTGATCCGAAGCCAGGAGCCAGGTGCTTTTCCTGGTCTCCCATGGGGTGCAGGGCCCAAGCACCTGGGCCATCCTCCACTGCACTCCCTGGCCACAGCAGAGAGCTAGCCTGGAAGAGGGGCAACCAGGACAGAATCCGGTGCCCCGACCGGGACTAGAACCCGGTGTGCCGGCGCTGCAAGGCGGAGGATTAGCCTAGTGAGCCGCGGCGCCGGCCTCCCAGTTTGGTTTTAACTTATTTGAGTGGCAGAGAGAGAGACAGACATCTCCCATCAGCTGGTTCACTCCCCACATTCTTGCAACAGCCAGGACTAGCCGAAGCTGAAGCTGGGAGTCAGGAACTCATGGGGGGGGGGGGGGCAGGGACCCAACTGAGCTATCATCCTTTGCCTCCTGGGTGCACATTAACAGAAAGCCAGACTCAGGCAGGCATTCTGAGATGGGGCGTGAGTGTCCCAGGTGACAACTGCCAGGCCAAATGCCTGCTCGAAGTCGGTGAGTTTTCATCACTGATAATTGGTAGTCAACAGTTTCTAGTCTCTGACACAGGTGCCTTTCCAAGAATAAACACTCTGAGTACTTTGTGATGGCATCACCATCAGGTCGATACAAAGGCGAGTAAGACCTGGTACCCTTCTCCCATGATTTCAAGTAGAGACCAGCTTTTAAGTATAATGGCAGATTTAAATAATTTGATATGAAAAAGTATACAAGATGCTACAGAATGCAAAGGAAGGAGTGAGTTCTGTCCTGGGGAGGGAAATCACTTTAGGCCTCATGGGAGAGTCTTCAATTCAAAATACCTCAGACTGAATTGGAGCCCCCTTTCTCAGCCCAGCTCTTCCCAGCTGCATTGCCTGTTTCCATAATGGCCACCCCACTCACTCATTCGCCAAGCCTTTAGGATTCATTCACGACTCCCCCATGTTCTTTCCCTTGTGCAGTTAGACATCAAATTCTGCTAAATTTATCTCCTGGATTTTGTTCAAGTCCTTCCCCCTCCCACCTCGCGCCTCCAGTCGTGTAATCTTTTGCTTGAATTGTTGCCAGTCTTCTAATTTATCTCTCCGCTTCTGATGTCTATCCTTAGTTGTCTTTCTAAAACTAGTATCTTACCATCCTCTGTACCCGCTCGCTCAGCGTCTTCCTGCCTGGAATCGCTTCCCTGCTCCATTTTGTGAACTCCTACCCATCCTCCAAGATCACCTTCTCCGGAAAGTCTTCTCTAATGTTCCCACAAGTTAGGCTCCACCAGCCCTCTACTCACACCTGTTTGAGCACATTTATCCAACACTATTCCCTAGTTATTCCTGAGCTCTGGGCAGAAACAATCTAATCTGCTTTTCTATGTCTAGGGCTTTGGTACTGAACAGATGATCGTTGAAGGAATTAATTCTGATGGAATCGAGGACAGATTCATGAAGCTGGTAACATTGGAACTGGACCTTGAAGCAGGATTAGGAACTAGTATTACTAATTAAATTGCTCAATCCATCTTTCCCTGGAGTTCGGTGACAGGTCATTCACTCTAGATCGTTACAAACCAGGGTTTGACAAATAAAAAACATTAACTTGAGAAGGATTAAAAACATGGCGTTAGAATTTGTGTATTTGCCCACTTTGTCTCTCTGAATGATAACGAGATCCTTCAATGGGGCCTTCTGTGGTAGTAATCACTAAAAAAACCTCAGGCTCTGCCCTAGTTTCTTTCTCAGTTATGTTCACAGCCACGAAGGTTACAGCAGGCAAGTGTGCTAGAGTGAGGGAGTCGTTTTGTTTTAAAGAACAGCTCTTTCTGTGACAACATGGTGTCACATATAGATGTGAAATTCACAATTTGGTAAGTGTATAGCACATGGGCAGGAATGTAGAATATGTGTCCCCTCGTTAGGTGGTCACCTCCGCCCGGGGAGGTAGGGGAAGGGCACAGGAATGGGAGTCAGCAGCTGATATTGTTAATTATTTTTCAAAGATATCTGAAGCATATGATAGCATTACCTTTTTTTTAAAACTCTGGGTGCTTATTACCTATATTTTTCTTTGTGTTTGAAATATTAAAAAAATATTTTATAGAAAAAAGAACCTTAGACCAGGAGTCAAGAAACCTGCAGTTTGATCTGGGTTCTACAGTTTTCCTCAGTTGTAAGAAAGGCAGGAGAGGACAGCCTATAGAGACAATCTAAATCTTTTCATAATTTCAATAAAATATTCTAATCTAGTCATATAAAGACTTCTCCAAATGCTTATTTCTTTTTTAAAAAAAGGTTTTATTTATTTGAAAGGCATAGTTAGAGAAGTAGAGAGGGAGGGAGGTCTTCCATCCTCTGGTTCACTCCCCAAATGGCTGCAACAGCTTGAGCTGGGTCAATCCAAAGCCAGAAGCCAGGAGCAGCTTCTAGGTCTCCCATATGGGTGCAGGGGCCCAAATACTTGGGCCATCCTCTGCTGCTTTCCCAGGCACATAAGCAGGGAAGTTGGGTTGGAAGTGGAGCAGCCAGGGCATGAACCAGTGCCCATATAGGATGCCAGTGCTGCAGGCGGTAGGTTAACCCACTGTGCCACAGCATCGGCTCCTATATGCTTTTTCTGACAAGAGTTTTATCACAGAGTCTGGTTCTACGGAAAGAGCTCGGTTGTTAAAAATGTATTGATGACTGTTTTTAGGTGTTACTTTTAGCTTCACAATGTGCATTAATTTTAATTCTTATGTAAAGTTTCTAAGGCACTAGGAGTTTGCTCATTGACATTTGAATGGCGAAAATGTTATGATCCTGTGGGAGTTGTCCTCACAAGGGCTGTAACAGGGATCGCACTGTCCTCGTCTCTCCTGTGAGCCAGAGAGGTAGCTTATGCCCACATTGATTTGGTACTTCGCAGCCCACAAAAGTTTTTGCATCTTCTTATCTATTTGATCCTTCTGATAATAAATACTGTGAGGTCAGAGGCAGAGATCTTGGTGTTTGTCAGATTTCCAACTTAAACATGACTTTTACTGGAAGTGAAACTATAAGAGCCGGGGCTGATGATGTAGCGTAGTGCGTTTACGCCGCCGCCTGCCATGCTGGCATCCCGTATGGGCGCCAGTTCAAGACCTGG